AATATATCATAAGTCGTGATTTCACCGTGTCTGGGATGTGAGTTTCTGCTACGGTTTACTTAGATATCGTGCATTTTCCACAAAGACGGATAAATATCCTGTGGAAACATTCTAAATATTACTTCCCCCTTTAAATAGATAAAAGCTGTTACTGTTTATTCGGCAGAATATCTGATTTATCTCTCAAAATTTCGAAACATTTCCAACACCGCAGTTTAAAACAAAACATTCACGCTCTAATTTGCGTATCATTTTCCTGAATGCGACTGACAATGGTTAATGACCATTATGCGAGATGTGATTAAAATACATTTGTATTTACATTAATTATATGTGAAACATTATAATTTACAGTAAAATTAACGATATAATTTATTAGTATTTTTAATAGATATTTTTATAAATTGGTATTTCGAATTAATGCACTTCAATTACATACATATTTCAATTTATAGAGAATAGAATAATAGAAACTAATCCTAATCACATAAACATGCAGAAAATGTCACATGATACACTAGCACATTATCAGTAAGCTGAGAAATTTTTTATAAAATTAAAAAAATATGATCATCATGTCCAATATCTTTCATTTAAATAGGGTGGAGTTCTGACAATGGACATGAAAAGAACTAAACTAAACTTAAGACTATCTGACAGACTATTGTATCATTTTACTTCAATCTCATAACTAAATTCTTTCAGAAATTTTTAAAAGAAAACGTAATAACTAAATTAAAGAAGATACTAAGACTCTATGAAATCAAATAATTGAGTTAAACACTAATATAATTCAGGCGACTTCATCAAAGTACATTTTTGAAAATGCAAAAGCAGTGTTCAAACTTATTACTTTCATTGAAAAATTTCACTACTGTGAAGTCTTCTTGCACATAAAATTTCATATGTATTTCTAGAAAAATTCTAATCTTTCAATTTTGTGTTTCAAACTCTATTGAAGTTAATAATTATAAAACTCAATTAATTAAATCAATCAATAAAAGAGAGAACTATGATTGGAAATTATGAATTATTATAACAATTGTAAAATAAATATATCGCTAATAATGATTGTATTTTTAATAAAAAATACCCGACTTTCTTACTATGAAATGCTCAAACAAAATCATTTTCATATTTATAATTTATAATTTAAATATTTAAATCTATTGAATATTTTCTGACGTTACGGATAATTACTATGAACATATTTGCATACATACATATATTCAAATTATTAAAACTGTTAAAATCATGTGCAAAATGCCCAATTCTGACCTAATACATATAAAAAACCATGCAAAGAAAGTGCCACTACTCATCAAAAATTCTACATTATACAACCAGTCACCCACGCCAATTTGGACCTTTCATCCTACATGAATGAATGACTGGAGGAATAAAAATGCATGTGACTCACAATGTTGCAGAGAACCAGAGAAAATCATCATGCATCACCATCATCAAGCAGGAATTCTAAAATCCCATTGTAAAAATGAAGACTATGGAAAATCTGTAACAAAACATAAAATGTTATTTGTTTCTGAAAGCACAATAATTGAAAAATGTGACAATACAAGATTTAATAGAAGAATAAAAACTTTTAACTTATCAAAGTAAAATATAAAAAATTAATATATAATATACTTACATCTTTGACCACAGGAGCACAGGTAGATCATGAGGAGAGGTAGAAGTGGAACAACCTTTAACAAAATGTATAATATAAAAATTTATTCTTAACATAGAAGTTGAACTGAAATTCACTGACAAAATATTTACATTTTTACTTTTAGAATATCCTTGGTTCCTCTCCAGACTACAGAATGAAGTAGAAGTTGTGAGCAATCTTTAACAAAATGTAAAATGTTATAATTCATTCTTAAAACAGAATTAATTAAAATAGAATATATACATAAAAGATACATACATATTCTTCGATCCTGGAGAGGTTATATACTCTTGCACGAAACACTGACTCTAATACCGAAAACGAATTCAAACAAAAATAGAAAAAGAAAAAATAAAAGACTATTAAAGCGTCCGTTTAAATTATCATAATCGGCGAACACTGATTCTAATTTCGCGTATTGTTATAATAATTGATGATTATGTAATTTAATCTAAGCTATTCTACTCTAGAAAATATTTAAAAATTTTGCGCGCGACCGCAAAATATTTCTAAAGACAAAACTAAATCAGACAGTGATGAAAGAAAAGAAGAAAGATATTTTTCAGAAGTGTTTCCGAGAAGTGTAAATTTCAAAACTAAATATACTTGAAAACGTAAAACACAACAAAGAAATTGCATAAATCTTACTTCAAAACGTATCTGCTTTCCCACTCTTCAACGCAATAAAAATGAACATACTACTATAGGCAATTTGTGATCAAAATATAGTCAAATCTTTTTCAAATCTTTACTACGTAAGTCATGATTTAACTAGTAATATAATTCTTATAATAATTGTAAAGTATAAAAATTAAAAATATACCAAATACTACGAACAGTCAAACAAAAAGTTAACGTCTGAATTTGTTACAATAAATGTTACCTTGAATCTGCGTGAAAAATCATCAAATTATTCGTCAATCATCATGACGTCATCCATACGTCAAACTTCCGGTTTCATTCTACAAGCTGCAAATAAAAGTTTGCTAGTAACCGCAATCAAACAGTGATCTGTATGTAAGAAAATCAAGATTTCAAAACAAAAACAAGTAAAATTAAAATTACTAATTATATTAATATAAAATAACAATCGTACGTACTTTGGCCGCAAGTAAAAACTATCGGTAATTCTGATACGGAAAGAATCGACGAAAGAACGAAACAATTCGAACAATGGTTTGATTTTATTACAATAGTGTTTAATAAAGTGTTAATAAACTAATCACGTATAAACAAAGCTAACAATATATACGTAGTAACAAAATAGTAGTGAAATAGTAGTGAAATAGTAGTGAAAGTGACGGCCAGCTAATAGGTTATCTCAGCATTATATTATGCAGCACGAGAGATACATCTTATTGGTATGAGTTTTGACACCTGAATGGCGCCACACATCAAGCCTCGAGAATTTCCAATTGGTGGGGGTTCCGTCGCGCGCGAAATTTCATACAATTAGAAATTTTCTAACATTAAATCTCTATCAATCAAGATTAAGAAATAACAAATGTAAGTGCAAAAAATTAATTTTTTATCAAGTCTTATGTGATTTGAATTTAGAATTCTTTATAAATAATAATTTATATAAATCATATTTATGTAAATTACATTAATTACTATATTTACATATTCTTTATAAATATTAATTATGGATTTATAACATTATTAACTATAATAAATTATTTAATTGTTTCAATAAAGTTAATTGGAAAAAGTCGGTCTAGAAAGTTATGCTTTATTTTAGTAATTAAAATACATTGATTACTAAAAAGAATTGTACAAATATTTACATCAAATAAAAATACCACAATTTAAAGATTATCCCAAGTGGAATTATTCATACAACGTGATCAAAAAGTTGTGATTTTTGGCAAGAGCGTAAAACGTGATAACGACAGTGGCAAGGGAAATATATTCAAAGCAACTTCTTTTACCATTTCTCTCACAATTGACTATATTCTATAGAACTGCAGGCACTCTTTGCAACACAACTACATACAGAAAAGGGGAAGAGCAATGCACGTGGCCACTTTCCGCGTTGGCGACCTACGAATTTACGAACATCCTGGACTACCACTATCTTCCCTCTACTTGGACACGTAGCGTATCCAGACCGACACAAATACGAACGTTTCGCTGTCGACACGCTACGGGCATGTTTTCTCAGCTGGTGCCCTAACTCTCGATCTCGAACGATCTTCCCTTCACCGTGTTCCGTGCCACGGTGCAGATCTTGGTGGATCCTTTCAAGACACGGTCGGCTACCCACAAAGGATATCTGCCCTTTCATACGCACGTTATTATACTCTTTACAGAATATCGTTCTACCTTCTCCCTTTTGGAAGAAAGAAGAAGAAGGAAGAAGACGAAGAAAAGAAAGAAAAGGAGAACTCTTGGTCTGGTGACGTGCGTGTTGGTGTTTTACACGTGTATACATGCATGCGCCTACGCTTTGTCGATCGAGCCTAAAGGCAGGGTGGACGTTTCGACGAAAGCCTCGAGATTTTCTCGTTTAATTTGTTGTTATAGCTGCTTGAGACGCGCGGATCGTTCCATTCCCTTGGCCTACGATCTTCAAACATTCATTATGTTTTTTTGTAACACATCCACCAACGCGGCTAGAATTGCGGCTTTTGCGCGGCACCTTGTTTGCTCTCTCCAATCGTGCAGAGATCTGTATTTCGTCGCGTTTCCCATCCAGCTAACCGTCTGTATTAGTCGAGGGAATGTGAGGGTGAATTAGGGAGTTGCTATTGTGCGTGCGGGTAGAAGCTGCGAAATGTGAGCGCTGTTTGAGAAAAGGGATTGAAAATAATAAGCGATTAATGTTGTAATACCCTGGATATCTTTGGAGATTCGAAAATGTTCTGGCACGCAAAATATTTTTATTTACCAAATAAAAACTTGCATTTGCATTATACCTTTTCTAATTGTAAGCTGAGTGAAAATAAGACGATGCTCGATGAATAGAGATTGCACTCACGAAACTCAATTGAGCAATTGATCGCATCCTATCGACGATTGCGTCACGTCTTTGCATCTGATGCGATTAGGAAGCGGTATTATCGCGGTCCATTAGCGATTGTTTGTAAGAAAGAGCAAGTCAATCTTCCGCGTTCGATGAATCGTGAGAAATGCGGTTCAGACAACCTCGAAAACCTAGTGAACCGTTAACGAGGCCTAGGCGGATTCTCTTCTATCTGATTTGGCACATTTCCCCCTCCTATTTCCCGTTTTCCGAGCATGCTGTTAGCATTCCTCGGCAAACAGTGTGCTTGGCAAAATCATACGACGAATCTCTCGAACTCGATGAAAATAGTGCTGCAGATTGTCAGTATCTTCCTACACGATCTGTAAAAGTGCTCAGAAACACGTGACGAGCATCTCTCGAAGGAAATATTGGCCCCATGCATTCTAAAAGGAGCTGGTTCCTTTCTTTCACGGCAGTTTTGAAATCCTCTTCTGATATCACGCCGTCGCGGTCCACGTCCAACTTCTTTATTAACAAATCTATCAAGTCCTGCAAAAAATATGCGCGACGAAATTCGATGAAATTCGATAAGCTACGATCTCGTTGGGACTCGTACACTTTCGAAAATTCAATTATCAAAGTGCACCTTCACGGCTTCGTCGGGGTTTTCATCGTTCTGCAGTTTAATTAAACATCCGCGCATCATGGGGAATATATGCTCCTTTTTTAGTTTGTGAGTTCTCATGCTATCGTACACCTGATATTAAATTACGAAAGAATGGTAGGGAAATTAATTAAAGCGGTAACAAAGATTGGGGGAGGCTGAACGAAGATAGTTGCATACTTGATAAGCAAAATGAATTTTCTCGTCTAAAGTACCACGAAGAAGCACCGATAGACTTTCGATCCATTGATCACGGTTTATCTAAATTATGGAATTTCTTTAGCGAAAAAGACTATCGATGAGTGCTTCATAAATTAAGTGTGCCAGTAGATGGCTGGAATTTAGTTTAGGTATGAATGAAAAAGTGTTTTTGGGATAAAGTGAATAGGCTCGAGGTGCCTAGACGTGATTGATTGTGGAAGAAATAGATGGAAGAGAGAGAAAGAAGAGTGAGCGTGGTAGAAACAAATGTTTTAAGCAGGGCAGTTTTTGCAAGCATCGAAGAGTATGGAAACTGCAATTATTCTATTCTATATTATTCTATTATTATTCTATTCTAACTTTGCAATTATTTATTAAATTAGTGTAAGTACATTAGGTTTCATTTTATTTAAAAGTAGTCTTACGATGTTTAACGTTGTCTGAAAATTTATTTACCTGCAGAGCATTTCGTTTGTCAATAACGGAAAACATTTTGTCGACCAGTAAGTGGCGAATATTTTTCGTGAAGTCTAAGCCAGCATGGAATATGTCACGAAATATTAATCTGCTTATAGGGCCTAGTGTTTTGACGCATTTACGGTGGATAATTGACAAAGCTGTCGATTGACAGATTAATCATGTTAATAAGAAGCATGAAAAAAAGCGTGATATTTTCGTTTCTAACCCTCGACTTCTCTCAGATTGAAATGCGTGGTGCGTGCCAATCTTTTGAACCTTGGCATATTCTTTGTTCTAAAAACGATCTCTGCCAAGGTGTCATTCAACATATCTACTGCCTGTTCCGCTGGCATTTTGAATACTCGCACTTGGGAAATTTTGATCGTGAAACTTGAAAAACGAATGTACTCCTTGACTGAAATGTCACGTGTCTTTGAAATCGCTTTTAATTGACAATCGATTCGTTGCTTTATTTGTTAATTTCATGATGTTCTGTGTAATTTGATTCTATTGCTGCTAGTGTTAAAATAAGTTTAATTTAATCAATTTAATTTATCAATTAATTTATTTATATTAGTGATTTTTTTTTAATACAAACGAAAGAAATAGTGTAATATTTCACGAAATAACAACGGCCCATTAGCTCAGTTGGTTAGAGCGTCGTGCTAATAACGCGAAGGTCGCGGGTTCGATCCCCTCATGGGCCAAGTTTTTTTTTTTCTTTCCCAATTTTATTTATATTTAGTATCTTTATCTTTTGAATAACAATTTCAGTAATTTTTGTGTAATATTTATTTATATTTAATTTTGTAGTTTTGTAATATTTGTAATATCTTTTGAAGTTTTGTAGTTTTGTAATTTTGTAATATTTGTAATATCTTTTGAACTAACAATTTCAGT